GATCCCCTGGAGAAGGGAATAGCAACCCACTCCAATATTCTTGCCTGGAGAATTCCATAGACAGAAGAGCCTGGTGGGCTACAGTCCATGGGGTTGCAAAGAATCAGACACAACTGAGTGACTAATATTTCACTTTTGTCTTCTTTTCAAGGAATTTGTACACAGAATATTTAGAAAAATCTTACAATTCAACAATAAATATACAAATAATTAGGCATTTCCCCAAAGAAGATACACAAATGTCTAACAGTCATGTGAAAAGATACTCACCATCATTTATCATTAGGGAAATGAAAATCATTACTTTTTAGGCATACACAATTAAAACTTTAACACTCACTATGATGACTAAGTTTTGTTTAAAGGAAAGCAACAAGTGTTGGCAAGGATTTGGAGAATTTGGAACCCCCAGATATTACTGATGGGAATCCAAAATTGTGCAGAAAATTTAGAAATACTATAGTTGTCCTCAAAATGTTAAGCATATAGTTACTATCTGACCCAACAATTCCACTCCTCAGTATATACCTGAGAGAAATGAAACATATTGACATACACAAGAACTTCTTATTCTTAGCATTATTTCAGAGTTGAACACTATTTCAAATGGTCAGAGCAACACAATTCATAATCATAAGCAAGTGTGGAAACAACTGAAATCAATTCAGTTCAGTTGCTCAGTTGTGTCTGACTCTTTGCCACTCCATAGACTGCAGCATGCCAGGCTTCCCTGTCTAGCACCAACTCCCAGAGCTTGCTCAAACTCATGTCCATCCAGTCGGTGATGCCATCCAACCATCTCATCCTCTGTCATCCCCTACTTCTGCTGCCTTCAGTCTTTCCCAGCATCAGCATCTTTTCCAATGAGTTAGTTCTTCACATCAGCTGGCCAAAGTATTGGAGCTTCAGCTTCAGCATCAGTCCTTCCAATGAATATTCAGGACTGATTTCCTTTAGGATGGGCTGGTTTGATCTCCTTGCAGTCCAAGGGACTCTCAAGAGTCTTCTCCAACACCACAGCTCAAAAGCATCAATTCTTCAGCCCTCAGCTTTCTTTATAGTCCAACTCTCACTACTGGAAAAACCATACCTTAACTATATGGACCTTTGTTGGCAAAGTAATGTCTCTGCTTTTTAATATGCTGTCTACACATTGGTCATAGCTTTTCTTCCAAGGAGCAAGCGTCTTTTAATACATGGCTGCAGTCACCATCTGCAGTGATTTTGGAGCCCCAAAAAACAAGACTCTCACCGTTTCTATTGTTTCCTCATCTATTTGCTCTGAAGTGGTGAGACTGAATACCATGATCTTAGTTTTGTGAATGTTGAGTTTTAAGATAGCTTTTTCACTCTCCTCTTTTCACCATCATCAAGAATCTGTTTAGTTTTTCTTCGTTTTCTGCCATTAAGAGTGGTTTCATCTGCATATCTGAGGCTATTGCTATTTCTCCCAGAAATCTTGATTCCAGTTTGTGCTTCATCTAGCCCAGAATTTTGCGTGATTTACTCTGCATATAAGTTAAATAAGCACAGTGACAATATACAGCCTTGATGTACTCCTTTCCCGGTTTGGAACCAATCTGTTATTCCATGTCCAATTCTAGCTGTTGCGTTTTGACCAGCATACAGATTTCTCAGGAGGTAGGTCAGGTGGTCTGGTATTCCCATCTCTTTAAGAATTTTCCACAGTTTGTGGTGATCCACACAGTCAAAGGCTTTGGCGTAGTCAACAAAGCAGATGTTTTTCTGGAACTCTCTTGCTCTTTTGATGATCCAACAGGTGTTGGCAATGTGACCTCTGGTTTCTCTACCTTTTCTAAATCTAGCTCGAATATCTGAAAGTTTTTGGTTCACGTACTGTTGAAGACTGGCTTGGAGAATTTTGAGCATTGCTTTGCTAGCATGAGAGATGAGTGCAACTCAAATGCCTATCGAGTAATGAGTAGACCGAATGTGCTACATACATACAGTGGAATATTACTTAACCAAAAAAGGGGATGAAATACTGATACATGCCACAACATGGGAGGGTCTTAAGGACATCATGCTAAATGATAGAAGCCACATATCTTATGATTCTGTTTATAAAAAATTGTTCAGAACTGGTAAAACCTTAGTAACAGACAGCAGATTAATGATTGCAATGGGTTCTGGTAAGCAGGAAGGATGGGCTGTTCTGGCTAATGAGTATGAGGTTATTTTGTGGAATTTTGAAATTACTCTAAAATTAGATATTGGCAATGGTTGCAAAACTCTGTGAATAAGTTTAAGAAGACTGGATTGTACTATTTTCAAAGGGTGAATTTAATGTTATGTACATCATATCTTAATAAAGCTTTTATAAAGAAAAAAATAAGTGAAAGTGTTAGTCATTTCTGACTCTTTGTGATCCCATGTACTATAACCTACCAGGCTCCTTGGTCCATGGGATTCTCCAGGCAAGAATACTGGAGTGGGTTGCCATTTCCTTCTCCAGGGGATCTTCCCAACCTAGGGATCAAACCCTGGTCTCCCACACGGCAGCAGATTCTTTATCTTGGGTCTTAAAATTCCACTCAAGCCTTTAGATGACTGTAATTGCAGCCCTGCTGACGCCTGAATTCAACCTCAATGAGAGATTCTAACCTCGAACCACCCAGCCAAGTCAATTCTAAGTCCCTCACAGACACTGTGGGAGATACACAGATAACACCACCCTTTTGGCAGAAAGTGAAGAACTACAGAGCCTCTTGATGAAAGTGAAAGAGGAGAGTGAAAAAGTAAGCTTAAAACTCAACATTCAGAAAACTAAGATCATGGCATCCAGTCCCATCATTTCACAGCCAATAGATGGGGAAACAATGGAAACAGTGAGAGACTTTATTTTTTACGCTCCAAAATCTCTGCAGATGGTGACTACAGCTATGAAATTAAAAGACACTTGCTCCTTGGAAGAAAAGCTATGACAAATCTAGACAGTATATTAAAAAGCAGACGTTACTTTGCCAACAAAGGTCCATCTACTCTAAGCTATGGTTTTTCCAGTGGTCATGTGTGGATGTGAAAGTTGGACCATAAAGAAAGCTGAGCACCGAAGAATTGATGCTTTTGAACTGTGGTGTCGGAGAAGATTCTTGAGAGTCCCTTGGACTGCAAGGAGATCAACCAGTCCATCCTAAAGGAAATCAGTCCTGAATATTCATTGGAAGGACTGATGCTGAAGCTGAAACTCCAATACTTTGGCCAGCTGATGTGAAGAACTAACTCATTGGAAAAGACCCTGATGCTGGGAGGAACTGGGGGCATGAGGAGAAGGGGATGACAGAGGATGAGATGGTTGGATGGCATCACTAACTCAATGGATATGAGTTTGAGTCAGCCCTGGGAGTTGGTGCTAGACAGGAAAGCCTGGCATGCTGCAGTCCATGGGGTCACAAAGAGTCAGACATGACGGAGCGACTGAACTGAAGTGAACTCAATTTTGAACTTATTGCAGATCATTAGGAAACTAATACAATGCCATTCAACTTATTTATTCATTAACATTCATTAAATGAATCCTATGTGTTGTGTGCTTAATATAGACAGGACTAGATACATCCTCCACCTTTATAGAGCTCCCTCTTGTGATAGATGAGAAAGTTAATGATTTTGACATAGATGCAGTCATCGAATGTTTTCATATGGGCTCTAGTCCTGTCAAATGAAGATATGATATATTTTATTAAATTGTCTACTCAAGTCTTTTGTAACCTCCCCAATTCAGTGTCGTTTGATGTAAACATATATCAAGCACTTCATAATAACGTGAAGGTTTGAGAACTTTCGAAACCATTCATCTTTTAAGATTTGGTGCCTTCAACTAAAATGTATCCCTTAACTTTTTGGACTTTTTTTTCCTTTCTTAATAAAGAGGAGAAAGCAAATAAATGTTTAAAAATTTAGGGCAGATCAAGTCCTTCACAAAACTCTTAACCCCTAAGTTTGAGATGTTGGTTTTCAATCTAAAAATGAAATACATTTTAAAAAACCAATTCACAGTGACACACTGCCTAATTTGTGCCTCCATGTCTTGTTTTCTTCCAAATGTTAACCTTATTCCTTTATGTCCAACCTTTAAGTCATCTGTTGTGTTTTTTTAATTGAAATTGCGTCTTTAGACCCATGAACACTCCATGTGGTTGTTCATTGAAACTCAGGTCCTTACCATGTGCTATCTCTGGCTGGGATTCTGAAGAGTGGTGTGTCTGCAAAGTTACTCTGTTAGAGTTCAGTTCCAAAGCCTAACAGAGAACTAATGTCTTACTTAAATGAGACTCTAAAGTGGGCTGACTTTCTGGAATCTATTCTCTCCTCTATGTAACATCCAATTCAATTTTGTTAAGGTCCTGGAGTGCAAGACCTCTCTCACCCTCTTCCTTCTCTGTAGTAGAAGACTGTTTACCATTTTAGAAGTTAAATGGTTAATTTTAGTTTCTCTGTGCTGAAGAGCATCCTCAGAATGAAAGTCTTAAGACAAGTGAGAACTCCAGATTTCTTATCCTGCACTTTTCCTGCTACAGTTTTGATAGAAGTGACCTTGCCGGGCAACTTTTTTTTTCATGGATTTTGCTTTCTTTATATTTTGTGTCACTGAGGGGGGTGCGAGCAAGTACAGTACATCAAAGCTAATACATCACCCCCTGTCAGTGGCACCTTCCCTTTGGTACCCCTTCCTTGCTGATTTAAAACACTCAGTCCCCATGCTTATGGTTGAGTATCAGGAAGCTGATGTATTCCAAAGCTCTTAACATACTGCCTTGTGTAAATGGTCCATGTGAGTATTTCAGAAACCAAACGGAAGAGAAAAGAACGTTGACAACACTGAAAAGATTAACACCTTTTTCCAGCCTTCAAAGAAATTGGAGTGCACTGTAAATATCCAGCATAAAACCATTTATTCTCTTCCGTTGAGACTTTTTATTCAGATTTTCAATTCTATGTGCATAGCATCCACCTGCTTATGGTTTGTTTCACTACAGAATTCCACAGAGGAATTAGAAGATGGAGAAGTTATGAATGGTATGCAGACAGAACTACTGACATCACCGAAAACTATGGATGTGTTGAGGTATTCTATTTATGTGAATAAGAAAATTTTATTTCAGTTTAATGTTTTTTTAACTTATAGTTGTTTTTATTTTATAGAAAAGACCAAGCTAAGGATAACTTGAGTGAAACCTAACTCTAAAATTAATTACTAAATTACTTTTCTTTTTTTACATGAGAAATTCCTGACAAACATGTACAAATGAGCCTCAATCCTTCCAACTTTTTTCTGCAACCTAGATTTCTTAATTGTTTTTTTCTTCTCTTTGAGCTACAGCTTAAAGTGAACATTTCAGAGTTCATTGTGGTGTGGTGTGGTGTTCTACTTTGACATTAGCTCTTTGAATAGTACTTTGCACTGTATTTTAACAATCTTGTAATATTTACTCTATGTATATAAAATGAACCTAGCCTATCAACCCAGATTTTTATGTTTTTAATGTAAGTAATTGTTATACAAAGTCAGTTGTTATGATTATGGGCACTTGCTTTGCTCTGTGATAATTTTCAGTTTGTTCCTAGCTACTGCCTGGGTTCAAATTCCAGCTCTGCAACTTATTAGTTGTAGGATCTTAAGCAAGTTGCTCATCAATCTTTGCCTTAGTTTCTGTTATGTAAAATGGAAATAATACTAAAACCTTCCTTCAGAGTTAAATGTTAACTAAACTGTTACCTAAAGACAGTTAGTTAATAGATATAAAGTGCTGTGAACAGTGCCTGAGGCGGAGTAAGCCCTGTTGCTTTTGTTACCAATTTCAACATCATCATCATCTCTGTTTTCATCATTGTCATCATCATTTTTAAAGTTGCTTCAAAATTTGCATGAATAATTTCATGTCTAATAGATTGTTGGCTTTAACACTGGAAAGTGATGCTTCTGAGACTGATGGTCATTCGTTCATTCATTTAGTCAACATACTTCTTTCATTCAATCCAGTTAGTTACAAATGCCAAGCATGTTACCTGGAATTAACGTAAGAAAAAAAAAATGTGTAATCATCTTTTATCCCACTGCTTTACTGTGTAGATTTTCCTCCAGCTTATAATTTATGGCCATATGACAGTTACTCTTTATTTAGATTGTGTTTCTTTGATTAATGAGTTGCACAATATTAAAAACTTGATGCAGAAAATCTCTAGGGCCCTGTCTTTTTAGAAGCTTGATAAGATTATTTTTGGAGGTAGGCATAATGAATGCAATACTCTTATTCTGTTTGCCTTTAATTTCATTTTTCTTTACAGGTTAGCTTTTTGGAAAGTTTGCTAAAGTCCCTACTAAGTATTTATAGAGTGAATAATTGTTTGGTTTATGGCTGCATGAACAAATTAGCTAAGCTTTTTCTAGATCCAAGGGATTCAGAGGAATGGAGTATAGGATTTTTCAAAACTAATATTTAATTAAAATATGTATTTGATTATCCCAACGGACTTTTTGCGTGAGTTTTATTATCACTTTTAGCAGGCTAAGGAATTGTAGTTCAGAGCATTAAACTTCTAGAGACCCAATCTACACCCATCACTCTTGTCTCCAAATCCTTTGACCCTAGTGTTACATGTTGCCTGCACCTTCTCTGATTCCTGGGTGTTTTATTTCACTTTGCCTAACCAAGGCTGGGAAACTTCATGTTGTGAGCACTATTGTAGGAAAAGTCATCTGAAATTAGTTTAAGGCCAAGTTCAGAAAGTAGAGTGAGTGCAAACTCCATTAAAGATTCTTGAATGGAGGGAGGATGAGAAGAAATGTGAAACTAAGGGTGGGGTCAGGAAGCAGAGGGTGGGCAGGTGACTGCAGCAGGACGCCTAGAGATGAAATTCAAGGGGAGAATTGTTTATGTGTATGTTGTATTTGTATAATGTTGTCTCTTTGTTTCTTTAATGCCAACAACTCTATTAGGAACTTATCTTAAGTCCCTCCTTGTTCAAATGAGGAAACATACTTTGGGACTTAGTTTAAATGATTTACTCGGACACCTGCCTCAAAGCCACCAACAGGATGCACTTTCTCTCTAATTTCATAAGTTAATACTTCCTTCCAAAACAGAACGTCTCCCTCTTCCTGCCCTCAGTTCTGCCTCTTCCTTCCTTTAGTGGCCAATCACTGGATTGACTGATCTTAAAGACACTCTGCATCTGTCTTCTGTGGAGAAGTTAGACTCACAGCCATCCATCTGCAGTCCCTGTTATATTCTCTTTCTCAGGCTTCATGCCTTCTGGAAGAAACCAAGTGAAGCACTTTGCATCTAATTCTTGCCATAGCCATTCACAACAGGCTAATTTTAAGCCACTCATTCTGTACTTTCACTCATGAAAGTGAACGTGAAAGTCGCTCAGTCGTGTCCGACTATTTGCGGCCCCATGGACTGTCCACGGAATTCTCCAGGCCAGAATACTGGAGCGGGTAGCCTTTCCCTTCTCCAAGGGATCTTCCCAACCCAGGGATCGAACCCAGGTCTCCCGCATTGCGGGCAGATTCTTTACCAACTGAGCTATCAGGGAAGCCCTAGGTAGCCACTGGTTCTAGTAACTATTCAAATCAATTTCATCAGTCAGACCTTAGAACATGTAACTTGCTTAACACTATTCAACCTAACGCTTGATGACTCTCTGCATTTGTGTTCATAGATCTTAGAGAGCTGTATAGAGTTAGCTCTTTTGAGTTTAGTGAAAGTTTCCAACTTTTCTTTTTGTAACTGAAATGTTTTTTGTCCTTTGCCCTAGAGTTCATTTTTTGTCTCTTTCTCATAAGTCCTGCCAATCCCTTTTTCCTTTCCACTACTCAAATAGCCTTCTCACCCATTCTCTACATTTTCCATTTTCAGTCTGCCTCCAAAACATAAGTAAATGTGTATGTACTCTCCTCAGTGGTCCTTGAACTCTATTCTGCTTTAACAAATAACTTTTATGGAATATTTTCACATCTTAGTAAAATCTCATTTTATGAGACGTGTATTCAGGTAACTGTGTCTAGCCCTCCTTGCTTTGTTTATCTTCCATGAGGGTCTTTATACAGAGATTTCCACGGAATACCACTGGGTGTAAATAACACTGAGTGGTTTCACTTTTCCCCTTCTAAAATAAATTCAAAACATAGACTTGTCTATGGTATTTCCTTTTTCAAATGGAAACAAATAATGGATAGCAATTTATAAAGACTGGTAAAACATAGTCCGTAAAACTTGTAATGCTTGTTTATAGCACTAATAGATTAATTCTCTAAGTATCTACATATTACAATCAACAAAATTGAAAGTCTTTTATGCTCCTTTTTTTGGGATAGTAATATTTTTGTGATAGTAGTTTGACATACGTCAAATATTATGCCAGCCAAAATAATTGTGACTGTCACATATAAAGAGAGCATAAGTGTTTATTCTGAAATACTGAAAAAGAGAATCTTACAAAGTTGAAATGAACCTTAATACTGCATCCCCCAAAAAAGTTTTAGTGTTTTGAAATAAGATTGATAACTTTAACAAATTATAGGATTTGCTTTTAAGTGAATGTAAAAATACAAGATTGATGATTACTAAAGAGTAGGTATCAGTATGATACATAGAATTTATTATATCTTACAGGAGAGGTTATGAGTGGGATAAAGAAATACTTGCAAACTAGAAAAAAGAATCCATAAAACCATCCTAATTTTTTAAGCTGAAATCTTATTGTCTAGACTAAACATTTATATTCCAAAACCCTCTGTATAAAACATGTGAATGCTATCTATCAGCATGTATATATTTAATGCATTTATTAAGAAAGATTTGTATTATGCTCTAAGTACAAAACTATAAAAATATATTATAAAGGGTAGAGATAATAAAGTTTCAGTAGTTAAACATAGTTTTAGTCTGTTTTTAAAAGTCTTTGCAACACTATAGTAATACTAGAATGTGAATGCTTTGGGTTTAGTGTTCCTCACATACCTCAAAATGCACTATAAATCTGTTATTATATAAAAGTTATTTCTTTATGGTCCATTGAAAAGTACAGAACCTTCTCTTCCCATGAGACATTTTATATTCAGGACCTATAATGCATACCTATATATGTATATTCAATAGTATTTCCTATGCATATATTCATATAGTGTCTATGCTCACACAGGAAGTATGGAGAAGAATATATTTAATTCCATGATACTAGCACTCTAAGATTTATTTTTTTTTAACTTTTATTCTAGGGTTCTGTTATAACCTGCTTGACTGAGCAAATTTCAAATATATCAGCAATATCTGAGCAAAACTCATTTGAAATTTATTATCAATTTTGAAATTCCATCACATTCCATAAATGTTGGAAGCTAACAGGCTCTTTTTTGCAGTTCTTAATGATAATAGGTTTGCAATGAAAACACATTAAAAATAAACCTAATCCACTGATGAGAATATATTTAATGTATTTATTTTAGATTGCTGATAATTTAGGGAGTACTTCATGCAGAGTGAATTCATCAGGCACTTTGCGTTCTTAATGCTGTTCTCAACGTTCCAGCAAGGAGCCAACATTTCCCCGTTTGCAATTTGGAGCAGAGAAGTATTTGTAGCAGCTGTAGCTCTTAATTTGACATCTAGTTTCAGGTCATTTTCATGTAAATAGGAAACAATAGAGACCTGCTTACAATTTCCATAATGGGGATGTTTGCTTCAACTTTATCATTTTCCTCTGGCAATTTTATTTTCTCTCTCTGGGATTAAAGGAGCCAATAATTACTCACGGTTATTATTTTTCATCTTTATAAACACTTGTTAGTTCCACTTTCTGTTACTCCAAAGCTCACAGCGCCTTGTATATTTCAGTCATATACACTATCCATTAATGTTTCTGGCTCATCCTTCCCTTAATCTGGAGTAGGTTAGGCAGGTCAGGCTTTCTATTTCTTTCTGTAATACATTTTCTCCAGGCTTTGCAACTTCTTTTTATACCTCTAAAAAAAAAAGTAGGAGGTGAAAATTTGGAATTGTTCTATTGAATACAACTGATGCCTTATTGAAAGGCTAGTTCAAGTTTTTATTTATAATGCTTTGAACATGCCAATATGTATTACCAACTGTGGCTTCACAGTTGTTTAAAATGTAATTTTGTGCTTTTTCTAATAAATACATATTTTATTTCATTTTTCCTCTGTACTGTAGGAAAAGCCATACTTTAGGCTTGATTCCATGTATTTTATCCTCTATACAGTAATTTTCAAGTGTGTCTCAATAGGGAGAAATTTCATTTTTGCGTACATCTTTTTAAATATGTTGATTTATGCAGATTAAGTTAAGTAGGAAGTTATTTTTGTAGGTAGTCATTTCCATTTGTTCCTCTTCTAGGAGAAAAAATAAGAAATCAGATAGCCTTTTAAGCATTTTATTTCCTGGAGCTTCTGAACATTCCAGCAAATCATGTACTCCTTTGATTTCATCTCTGCTGTTAAATTTACAGTAGTTGTTAAAATCTGAAGTTTTTTTGGTTTTCTTTTTAATATGCCACATCTGTTGTTTTGTTTTTGTTTTAGCAAAGACTCATTTGTACTCCCTTTTTCTTTTTTTCTGTCCCAGTGATATGACAAGAACAGTGGAGATTTCCGGGGAAGGAGGCCCCTTGGGAATACATGTAGTGCCTTTCTTTTCATCTCTGAGTGGAAGGTAAGATGTTTTCCTTATATCAGAAGCTCATGCTAATGAAAAACTTGACTTGAGCTCATTTTCCCAAACATTTTTCAGAAGAGGATTAAGTGTACGTCTCTGTTATTTAGATGGACACCTCAGCACATGCTTCTATTGGCCACTTATTTGTTAGAAACAAAATAACCACTTACTTCTAGGATACAATAGAAAAGACATCATGTTTTCTGTATTTACAATTAAGTAAGAAGTACTTTCTTAAAGTATTCTTATCAGTAACACATATAAACAGAATCATGGAAAGACTTTAACATGTGGTTAGACAAGCGTAGCAACTGAATTTTTTAATATTCAAAAATGCACTTAAAAGAAATATAATAATTCCAAATTGATATTTCTTGATCTTCTTCATGTTTATGGAACCTCTAAGAATAAATATTTTAATATTCTAAGTATATATCAGAAATTCAATATATTCTGATTTAGCTAAGTAGCAAAATGTCTTTATTCTGTTTATTTTGTTCTAAAATATAATGTAATCAATCAAAAATAATTTGACACATCCTTTTGAAATTTTAAAGACAAATTTATAAATTCATGCTAGTAAATGGTAATATTATTGTGTCACCATTTCTTGAAATTCATGTCTACTTAACTGGATGTATGGAGAAGGAAATGGCAACCCACTCCAGTATTCTTGCCTGAAGAATTCCATGAACAGAGGAGCCTGGCAGACTACAGTTCATGGGGTCGCAAAGAGTCGGACACGACTGAATGACTATCACTCACTCCTCACTAACTGGTTGTAAAACTTGTTTTACTGATGGGAATTAAAATGTGTGCCTGAGAGTTAATGTTAGTACCATTTTAACAGCCTTATGAAACAAGTATTAGATATTATATTATTTTTCAAGAGGATGGCTACCTTGAGGACTAGATTGATACGGACAAAGGCTGTCAGAAACTTAAAGTTTAGCCCTGTTTGACATGTTTTAAATTATTTTGTTTAATTTATTTTCTTAAATGTATCATTAAAAAGGCAAAGTACCTGATTTTAGTTTAGGTGATCAAAGACCAGAAAAGTCAGTTGATTTTCCTCAAGGTCATACAAAATCCAAATCTCCTGACTTGTCCTCACTCCATTGTTCTTTCTAGAACAAAACTTTCCCCAAAGGTTATATAGTATTAATTTACTGGTTCTGAATATTTATTCAATTTGGTCTGCCATATAGTGGCAAGAGCAGATTTAGTCATGATATTTTGGTTGGCATCGTTTTCAGCAGGTAGCCATCTGCTACCTGTAATTGCAAAGTCATCTCCTTTTTTAGCAAATAACATCTGATGCCAAGCTTTTGATGGAATGAATGTCCCCTAAAAAGAAATGAACTGAAAAGCTAGTGGCTCTTATTATCTCATTTCCTGTATGTGTTAATAAGCGTGTTTATAAATGTTATGGGTTATGGCACAGGACAAGCTGAGGTTGTTTTTGATAGACAGAGCAAGTATTTACCCAGTTGTCACAAGAAATTCTAATGGCTTTTGGCAGAAGTGTACTGATAGAGCTTTGTGAAATACCAGCGTGGCTAAATTACTAGGCCCTTTAGCTTAATGAAGCTGGAATAGAACACAAGATCATCCCAATTTTCAAACCATGAAGAAATATACAACATGACAGTCACCCTACTTCAATTTCAGTCATTCGGAAAACAAGTTGAGCCTCTAGACTAGAAATCACCTTCTCTCACTTCAAATGAGGAAAACACACTACAGTGTATTGATTTGCTCCCTGCTCCTTCCTGGTTCTGATTTCTAGCATAAGCCTTGTAGAACAGGAAGAAGAATATTGGACTTGGACTTGAAACAACTGGATTTGGATCTCAGTATTCTCTTTTGTATAACCTGGAGCAAGTCCCCTAAACTCGCCTCTTGTGAATACCTACTTCACATCAAGATTGTGGGGCTTAAATGGCATTAAAAATATGAACACTCCTTGTAAAACACACAACCCATGAATGTGTAAATTATTAGGATTATTACTGTTTTGTCTAAAACAGAAAAGCCTGTTCAGAAATGAACTTTTATAAGTTCATGGTCAACTTTTCAGTAACTTTGGGAAATGATTGTATAATTTTTTTTTTTTTTTGCTATCCACTAGTATTACAGAAAGGAAATTTAATTAAAAAACATAAAAAAATAATATGGAAGTGGAGACATGAGCCAATAAAAGTTAAGAAGTAATGAGTACAGGCTGAAACAGCACACTTAACTCAACCCATGTGTCTAGAAGCAACTGCACATAGAGCGTGTCAGACAAGTGTCTGACTTCATCATGCCATATGGTCACCCTGTGTGAGCACAGAGGGTGGGGGGAGTTAAGGTCATAGTGGTAACTTAGTTCTTAATTTCCTTCCGTTTATTGGTTTGTGTCATTATTTTAAATTAGAATTTACATTTAATTATTTACTAAGACTACCGTAATTGGCTTTGCCTTTAATTTCTTTTTTATTTTTTTTCTTTTACAAAAATAGAGCCACACCTGTTGTAGAATAAGATCCCTAATCAAAGTTAGAACACCCTGAGTATAACACACTGACTGCTATACTAAACAAGGCCTCGTTGGATTCATTGGGCTACAGAATGCTGCTTAAATGGAGAAAAACTGGCTTGAGCAATAAAAACAAAAACTGCAAAAGAAAAAACACCTAGAGTCCCTGCAAGTAAAAAGCAACTTGATTTCATTAAAAAAAGAAATATATATATATAGTTTTATTTTAGAATTAAAAGCATGAAATCTAATTGTCTGTCAGTAAATAAAGATGGCATAGTATACCTGCTTCACAGTAAAAACAGCTAAATATGAAACAGAAGAAGGAAGAAATGGATGAAGAGGGACATATAATATGAGGAGAGGATATGCTCAGGTAAAAAGTCTAAGCTGGTAAACAGCCGAGGCAGTATGATACTGTGGGGAGAAAGGAGGAGGTAAGCAGTGAGTAGGTTTGTAGGTAAGGGCAAGAAGCAATTGTTACACCTCTCATTCTGCTGGGCTATGGACTTCAGCCTTCTTTATCAGTGCTCCTTCATGCAAATTAGTTTGTTCATTTCAGCCTGTAATGCTTCCACAGCGTTAATTTTGAAGTCTCAGAGTCTTGGTCCCAAATGAGCTAGCTCCCCGCGGCCCATCCATCAGGGACAAAGAGGAAAAAGAGAGCCTCTTTTCTGAGCCTTCTCGTACTGGTCTGAATGAAATCAAACTGGAGGGAATCCATCCCTTCCATCGAATAAAGAAGGCAGGAGTGGTTCGTTGCCAGGGACCAAACTAATAAAATCAGTCAGTTTTACATTTTACCAAAATTACCTCTGACACATGGGTTTTACAGTTGGGCTTATTCTGTCAATAAATTTTTCATGGAAAGTTAGGTTATTTAGATGAGTGAGGTTCACATAGCATACTCCAGCTGTAATATGCCAGCTAAATTGCAACCCAGTGGCCTGAAAGAATTAATTCATCTCCCAAAATGTGAAATTAAATCCTAGGGAGCAACATTACATGACTGATGATGTACTGAATTAAATTAAAGGAAGACTTGAATGCTTGTTAAAAAAATATCGCTTACATAAACTAGTTTATAACCACATGTGAGCCTCCTAATGGATCGTGTTATTGTGAATCCACCATAACAAAAATCCAGAATGTGAACTATTAGAGAGTTGTTTAATTTAGGAGAAAGATACTATTTTGTTCTATTTCTTTCTTTCCTTTTTTTTTTTCAACATATCAAATAGTTCAATTCTTAATATTATGTTACGAGATTAAGGTGGGATTAGTACCTTACAAATATTAATTTAAATCTCAGATTCTTTATCACACAGTAATGTTGTCCCCTATTCTCCTCCACACAAAATGTAAACCTAATTCCAACCTACTAGAATTTGGAAATGAAGCATCAATGCACACTTGGCTTGTGACCTAGAGCCTTCCCTCAGTAGGTGGTGTGACTGTTTGCTCTCTCATGTAGCAGCCTACAGTGTTCATTTAACTGTTTTGCAGTAGAAATCTAAATAGCCCTGCATCTGCCTCTCCTCTGACCTTCTCGAGATGACGTGGGCTCATCCGATGAACTGAATTCCTAGAGGCAGAGTCCCCACCCTATGGCAGCTCCAAGCAGGAAGATGGTTTCCTCCATTTTCATTACAGACTCCTCTTCTCCATGGCAGACCTGACTATTCACGCATAAAATGTGCTCATGTTTTATTTAGATTTGACTTAATGCAAAGGGAATACGTAATAGCTTGTAAGACACCTGTATGGAGGAGTATGACAAAGTAGGAAAACAAGAGGATGAGGGAAGAGGAGGCTGAGGTTTTTCTACATCTAGCAGACTCCTCATGGAAGATGTATCTGTCTGTCTTATCCTGAGAAACTTGGGACCCTTACATGCCACAAGGAACAGGGAAATCCCTCACGGGAGAAATGGCTAAAATATACACAAGTTTGGTTCCTTTTAGTTTTCAGTTCAAATACTACCAGTATGTAATAGATGCATCCAAGTACACACATATACACACAAAATTCTTTCTTCTTATTTCTGTAGTTTTCTTTTCTCCTGTTCTTTTTCTCCAACTCCCTTCTCCTTCCTCCTAATTTAAGCCACGGCTGCAAAGCACCAGTAAGCTTGGGATATCCTCTCTGAATGCAGATTCTTCCTGATTGAAATTTTAGACAACACTCTCCAAACCCCTGCTTTCATCTGGCCACTGTCTCAGAAGTGAGGACTACTCCAGCCTGATCAGATAAGCCCATCAGCTCGCCTTCAAGGCCCCCGCACGTGGCACTGGCCTCCCCATCCAGCGTGGGCTCCCACCCCGCCCCACTTACACAGACACCCGGTCAGCCCTGTCTGCGTGTGTTCTGTCTCCTCCTAGCCAAATCCCATTCGTTCTCCTAACCCAGTTTATATCCTACGTTCTTCCCAAATTCTTCTATGAAGACTTGGCCTATTGATAGCTCCAGATTTTTTTTTTAATTTCCCCTGTACTCCAAGCCTGTACTGAGCTGTCTTCCCGGTCCTATAGCCCTGTTTCATATCCCTCCATCCAAAGTGCATAGAGAACACTCAACACAACTCTTTATTCAGTAACTCAAACATATGGGACCATACTTCTTTCTAAATTGAGTAATGCGGTCTGTGCTAAATGTTTTCTTCTTAAAATGCATATTATTAAAAGAGGTAGGAAGATTGCAAAAAGACTATTGTGAAACCTAATGCTCTCCTGTTATCAAATGTCAAGTGCTCCCTTGACACCAACTCAAACTTACTTATTACAGTCAGCCCTTCTGTGATGCCCTCTCCAAACCACAAATCCCGTGTGTCCTCAACTCTACTAAGTGACACTAGCCTTTTCTAAGTTTACTAAAAGCATGAGGAATGGAGCTATTGATCAGCGTGCTCTGGGTTGGTGTTTATGTAGATTTGTCTTGGTGGGCGGGGGGTAGTATCTTCTTTTATTGAGTTGTAAGGGTATGTGTGTTTTTCTGATTTTATTTCGTGTTTTACTAAAAATTTTAAATAACAAACAGTTGCCTGGATGTAAAGCATAATTTCTTTCATAAGGAGGAGTTAGTACTTATTTCTGAACAGTTGCAAGTGGAGAAACAACTTGCATACTATTATTCAGTCATTCTCTTCAATCTAAATGTTACATCCAGGATTCTAGGACTCTTCATTCGTGGCATTGAGGAAAACAGCAGGTCCAAACGGGAGGGACTGTTTCATGAAAATGAATGTATTGTAAAAATCAACAACGTGGACCTCGTAGACAAAACCTTTGCTCAGTAAGCCTTTTTTCCTTCTTTTTTTTTTTTTACTTTATTGATTCCTAAAATGCTAATTATAATCATTACTGTATTCATTATGATCAAAACTGTAGGTATAATTTCTGGTTAGTTCCCTTTGACTCCAGAACATCCCTTTTCAAATGCATCCTGTGTTTGAGCATACTCAGGGGTGGCCTGCACGAGTCCGTGACAGCCCGGAGAAGGACCAAGTATAGAACGAAGCAAGCCTCCTGCCTGGCTGTCTTTCTGTGACATCGATAGACGGGTTTGTTTTTCTTAAGATACGGGTCAGTTAGACTGGTATTTAATGACTCTTTTCACAGGCTGTTAGTTCGGCTTATTAATTAACTTACTTGGTGTCAGCAGTCTTCCTTAAACTAAATATCTGTGAGAGATGTCTATGAGGACTCACTGAATAAGAGAAACAAATAAAAAAAAAATGTAAAATACTCTCCCTCAAGAAATTATTTCTCTGCATGTGAAATGTTAAAGGAATAGGTCTTTATACCTAAGAAATAGACTATGCAGCAGTGTACCTATGCTTTTTAAAATGTATATTGGCATTGCAATGGAATAAGGGACTAATTACTAATACCCTTTAGTAATCATCATCGAACTCTATTATTTCAAACAAAAATAACTCAATCTTCTCTGTGACCATTAGTTGCCAATATTATGTTGGGTAGAAAGGGTGAGTAGTGCCTGGAGTGGCAGTGGGCACTAGCTGCTTCACTGTAGGAAAAAAATGAAGCCTCTAGAGACTATTTCTGAAAATAATGAATAATAGGCAAAATTATAATTATTATAAATAATGATATTATTTTTATATATCACTGTGCTTTTTACCAAGACTTAGTAGTAATGCAAGGCAGACATTACTCCCTGTATTATTGAGGTGGAAATCAAGGCTTATAAAATTTCAATATGAAGTAGGAATTGAATCCTAGTCAAGAATCTACCAGAGGAGTTGGGCTGTCTATATGAAGACTTCTCCCTTCTCTACTAGCAGTGTAAGCTCTTATTAATAAGGTGAGGAGGAGCTTAGATAGCAGTTGGAATTGTGATTAATTTTTATTTGGTGTGGCTGCTAGTAACAAAGACCTGAACTAAAGGTATCTTAAACAAAATTTACCTTTTTTAAGGACAAATAAGTGTGGAGGTGGCAGTCTAGACTTGGTTTGGAGGGCTCACCATCACCAGTGAGTTAAGCATCTTCCATCTTTCACTTGGCCATCCTTCTTATGTGGCTGCTATCTTTAAGCTATCTCATGGTCACAAGGTAATTGTTTGAGTTCCCTCCATCACTTCTGAGTTTCAAGAAATAGGAAAGAGAAATGGAACAAAAAGTTCCTGCCTCCCAACTGAGCCAGATTCCCTATTGCCCTCCATCTCATTGATAAGAAAGCTGGGAAAGATTGTTGTTTTACCTGGTCATAAGGTATAAGGAGGCATAGGAAGAAGGAAAGAAAAAGTAGTAGGAAATTTGAAGAAAAGCACAAAGTGCTAAAACAAAAAAAAGCAAAAAATGCAGATACTCTTTAATGAAATAAATAACAGAGAGTATGCATTTTGGGTTGACAGTCCACTGTGACATTTGGCACAACCAACATACCTACCAAATGTCACCGTGGAGAACCGTCTGTGTCAAAATTGAGCTTCTTGAACACAATCCACATTAGAAAAGACCTGTCCTTCAGAATAAAGTCCTAAAAGGAAACCAAATGATCATCTGATGACCACCATCAGAGATTTTTTTTTCTTTCCATCTAAAATTAGAGCTTCCTTTTATGTTGAGTTCAGTAAACACTTCTGGATAGAATTTCAGATTTAGAAATGCTTAAAAGCTGTGAGTCGTTAGACAAGTTAATCTCTCTGAGCTTCAGTTTCTTCACTTTGTAAAATAAGACCTAAGTATACCTACCTAACATCGTTGTTAAGAGAATTGAATGAGAGCATCATGCACGTTGATAACGCACACATAGCCCAGGGCAGTGGTGCCTCATGAGCAGGCCATACGTGGTAACTGGCACTCTGTTAGCAAAGTCATGTTGGTAGGAACAGTGAGAGCACCTCCTCTGCGTCTGCTCCCGGGCTGCTCCCATAGCTGCGACTCTGGGTGCTTCAGACAGCATGCTGGGACATAGGATCACTGTACATTCACTGTCTTTCAAGGGCTCAAGACCTCTTCCGTCAGGCAATGAAATCTCCAAGTGTGCTCCTCCGCGTGCTTCCACCTCAGAACCGGGAACAGTATGAAAAATCAGTCATTGGACCTCTTAACATTTTTGGCAACAATGATCGCATGTTGAGAACAAAGGAGCCACCTTCTGTCCTTGGAAAATCGGGAATAAAGACAATAAATCTCACAGGAACAAGCAGTCCTGAAGAAGATGCATCTTCTCTGCAACAGAGCAAGAGCCCCCGAGTACCAAGACTAGGTAGAAAACCATCCTCTCCCTCCCTCTCCCCGCTCATGGGGTTTGGTAGCAAGAAGAATGCAAAGAAAATTAAGATTGACCTAAAGAAAGGTAATTATTAAATTATGCTTAATAGCATTCTATTATTGTAACATGTAAAATTGGTTAAGAGAAATACATTAAGGCTAATTTTGTTAATTCTCCTTTCATTTGATTGAATCAAAGAATAGTTTGAAGTGTATACTGTGGTAACTTAAATTTCTTGAAATTGTAGTACTTCCTTATTCTTTCTTTTCCTTTTTTCTGGAGAGTGTAGATTATTTGAAATAAGAAAATGATAAAGACATGCTGGGAAATAAAACCATTACAAACTTGATAGGAGCAGATTGATACTGTATCACAACTTAGACTAAATAGGCGCTGAAATTCAGTCGTCTCTGTTTTGAGTGAGATTAGGCTTCCCTGATAGCTCAGTTGGTAAAGAATCTAGCTGCGAGGCAGGAGTCCCTGGTTCAATTCCTGGGTCAGAAAGATCCACTAGAAAAGGGATAGGCTGCCCACTCCACTCTTCTTGGGCTTCCCTGGTGGATCAGCTGGTAAAGAATCTGCCTGCAATGCGGAGACCTGGGTTCGATCCCTGGGTTAGGAAGATCCCCTGGAGAAGGGGAAGACTATCCACTCCAGTATTCTGTCCTGGAGAATTCCATGGACTATAGAGTCCATGGGGTCACAAAGAGTCAGACATGATTCAGCGACTTTCATTCACTCAGTGATTTTTGAAGAATCTTTTAGCCCAAGTCTGAAAAGCCAGTATATTGTTTCTGGTTCTCTAAAATAGTTTTATACCAGCAAAAATTATTCCTCAGCAAATACGGGATGATTAGTGATTTCACGAATTCAACAATGCAAATAATGTTTCAAATATTCTTAATTTCAAAAGCATATATAACCTTTTATTTCTTCATCTTTTTAAAACTTTTTTATCCATTTTAAGCCCAGATCAATGACTAGATCATGTGTGTTCATACATATTTATACAGTATTATACATACATACATACACATTTATGTATTTCTGTGCTTTTATTTTGTGACTTCTCCTATAGTCCCTTCACCCACTGAACCTTCTGCAATCCACTGGGATTTTCAGGACTTCATTCAAAAGAAACCGATATTTTATGGATTCCTGTTGGAATTAATAGAAAATATAATGATCCCAAGGTAGTTTTAGAATACATCTTAACATATATTTAAAGCATGCAACATATGCCTTTAATCAGGATATAGAGATTATTCTGAAAGATCCTCTAGTCAAAATTTTGTCCTCCTATAAGAATTTTATACTGGGAAGAAAATGTATTGACTAGGATGCACAATTAGGCTTTTTATATAAATGCATCACTTGTACTTTTCATACAAATTATGCAGTTATGTATAAGGCATGGGGTTGAGTGCTTTGAGGATAGATAAATTAGACACGGAACGTGACCTTAAAAATCCATCAGAAAGCTTTGGATGCAAAAATAAAGGATATTACATCCCAGAGCTGTGTTTTAAGAAGATTAACCTGACAGCAAAAGATATACTAAAGAAGAGAGCAGATAACAAGGGATCAGTAAAGGGTGCCCAGTGTAATATTTATGCCTAAATCACTGAGTGGGTGTAGATGGAAGGAGAAAGGAATTACAGTTATTGTTGGTTTTCAGCCAAGATGGCTTGCACGATGGGGATGCCATTACAAGAAATTAGAATTTTAAGCGTAAAAGGCCAGGATCTGGGATGGAGAAGGAAGTTTGCAGTGAAGTTTAAAGTGCTGGTGACAGCATGTTCATGGTGACAGCCTGGAAACTGACACCAGAGAGATTAGAGTCAAACAGAGATGTCAGTGTCATCTGTAGAGAGATGGTGGTTGGAGACAGGAGCCAGGCAAGGCAGAGTCTGGAGGACAAGTTGTTCCAGATCCTTGGGGAGCATCTGTGTTTACATAGGACATCAGTGGGTAAGAGACAGTGACAGACATGTTGTGATCAGAGATGTAGAAAAATAGAAAGTATAAAGACATGGAAACCAAGAGGGGAGTTAATTTCAAGAAAACGGTTGGTGAGAAGTGTCAAAGCTAGAGAAGGGGAAAGATCAGGAGAGGAAAAATGACTGATATGGTCACAGATAGGTCTTTGGTAATGGAAGAGTGAAGAAGAGTGAAGAAGCAGTAGGACTGAAGTAAGGATTCTTTAGGGTAAAGAAAAATCCAAGCATGCCTTGACACAGAATAAAAAAGACAACAGTCAAAAGAGATTGGCGATGTAAGAGAACAGGATGGGAGTAGCAGGAACCAATGATGTGATGAAGTACACAGGAATGGAGATGCAGGTGGAGAGTGAGCCATGGGCTGGCTGGTTGATTGAAAGCCAACATGTCAGATGGCCTCTTGCTTCTCAGGAAAGTGTGAAGTCAGGTTATGCTTTATTAAGAAGTCAGTCTCCCAGGTGTATGGATAACATGTGGCATTTTTTGTTAAGACCTTAATAAAAGAAAGTGTTACACATCTACATTGGCCCTAAATTCATGGTAATATAATCATGACCTGTCAAGAACTGTAATCTGTATTTAAAACTAGAAACTCAAACATATTTAAGATATTTGACAGAATGTCAGCATTTTACTTTTCCTATGTTAGTCTAAATTAGGTCAGTTTAACTATAAGATTGAATATAATATTTCTCCAGCTGAAGACGATCATGCATTTTCTTGGTCTTATGCACTAGGGCCTGAAGGACTTGGTTTCACTGTGGTTACCAGAGATTCCTCCATACATGGTCCGGGTCCCATTTTTGTGAAAAACATTTTACCAAAGGGAGCAGCGATAAAAGATGGCCGCCTGCAATCAGGGGACAGAATTTTGGAGGTAAGAATTAGAATGAATATCTTCAATAAAATATTTCTTGGTGTTTAAATGAAATTTATGAAATTTTCAATTAATTATATTGAAAAGTGTACTTGTAGACAAGATAAGGACTTCAGTTAGAAAACTGGTTAATCAATAGCCAACTTTGTAGGTCCTCAATAAGGGCAGTGATATGGAATCAAATATTGAAAAGTTTTTCCTATCTCCTAGTTCTTACTTCCACCTCTTAGAGTCCCTGGGGGATTTGAGTCATATCTATGAGTTCATCATATATTCAGTTAGGGCTAAGAATTGCAAAGTTGCACCCAAGTACTTGTAATAGTTTCTTTCAACTTCTTTAAGAATGGGCCAGTCTGTGTTAGGTCAGTCTATGCATATGGAGAAGTATTTGGAATACTCAAAGGAAGAGGGTTTTTTTCCCCCCATTTATTTTTGTTTAATAGTATTATTTTCTTGTCTACATATATTGTCAATTTACCTTTCAAGAAATCATCTTCATGGAAACTGACTGGTTCCATTTAACTTGCCCATGGCACAGAAGCAACACCAGAGCTTTGTATATAGTTCTAGACCATGAAAGAAAATGGTTCAAATGATTAACATAGTCCCAAATTAGAATCTACAATAATGTATGGTAACCTAGTGACTATAACTTTCTAATGTAGAGAACACTGTAGATACAACAAAAACTCATGTCTGCAAGAACTGACCATGTGATAAAAATCCATTTCTCCTGTTTGTATTCAGTGGAGAATGGTACCAATTAAGCATTTGAAATCAGCTTCCTCCCTACTTGAGGAATGATTCTCTGGTATCTGTCAGTTTGATTTGTCCTTCCTAAGAATGTGATGTCTTAGGGAAAAACCGCCGATGCCAATTACTGAATGTCTGAGGCTGTCCAGCACCACAGTAATGATGGTTGGCATATTGCTAGTATCATAAACATGATTGGTTTGGACTCACATACTCAGTTTTCAGCTTCCCAGAATTTCCTTGATCATGAGAGTCCATTTGCTGCATGCTTTCAGAAACCATCTAGGGTGGACAGGGCTGGCAGTGTTGTAATTTGGCTGCTTATATCCTTGTCTGCATTAGGTCAATGGCAGAGATGTCACCGGACGAACTCAGGAAGAGCTCGTGGCCATGCTGAGGAGCACTAGGCAGGGAGAGACTGCATCGCTGGTCATAGCCCGCCAAGAGGGAACTTTCCTACCCCGAGAGCTGGTAATGTTCAGATCACAGTCATACTGAGTTCTCAGCAAAGCACATCATACACATACTGAATTCATAATAGCTGAGAAATGAGTTCTAAGTCATAGGCTTAATTCGTTGGGAAAAAAAAAAAAAAGAATGAATCACACTGAGAGAGTTTTGCCCCATTTGGAGTATCACTATTTTAGAATGATGATGCAGTGAGATGGGTAAATGCAAACAGTGCTTCAAGTATATGAATACAAAAACACCCCTCAAGGAAGCAATTTAACAATATTCAACTGAATAAAATGCACATTGAGTATGTGCTATGGGTTAGGCCCCATGCAAAACACCATCAGCAGAAATGTTCATGGTCCTACCTCAGTGCAGTTTGCAAAGTCCAAAGGGAAATTAAAATATAACCAAATATTTTAAATGGTGATGGAGATTATGAAAGCAAGTTGCAGAGTGCTACAGTAATACCTTACAAGGGAATTAACCTCATCTTAAAGCCTGGGAAAGACATCTCAAGACAGAGAACTTCATGTCTTATTAAAAATGTGTATCCTTTGACCTAGTAACTACAATTTTAGTAATTTGTCCTAAACTAATCATCAAAGATGTGGGAAAAATTCTTCTACATTGATTTTTTTTCTCCAGTCCTATTTATTGCAGTGATATATTGAGCACATTACAACCAAGAGGTATTGGTTAAATAAATAACTGGATAGCTTTCCAATGAAATATAATAAGTACTTAAATCATCTCTGTGAAGAATTAATATGAGAGAATGTGCAGGATATATTATTAAGTAAAAAGTTGGGCATAAAGTGATATATGCACTATGACAATAACATTAAGAATCTTTATAAAATATCTGGAAGGAGATACACCCAGATTGTCAGTGCATTATGCCAGATTTTCATTTCCTCATTTTTTTACTATTGACACATAATATTTATTGTTGAAATATTTAAGAATGATTTAGAAAATTCAGAGGATTTTTATGACTAATAATAAAGAAGAATAGATATGAGAAAAAAGTTTTAATTATTCTTTAATTTTTATTTTCTTTGAATCTATGTAAGAAATGGCAAAGGCACATATGGGTAATATCATAGGTTTTCCTTGAATTAGATCATCAGAACAGTGAGTGTTAGTTGACAAAATGGAGTGTAGGTAACTTGAAAAAAAATTTTAGTACTGATAATTGCTATCACATATATAAAGAATTATTATACAGATTAGAAAGTAAATTTTAACCTGTTGCTTCAGATAACTTATGTCCATTAATTTACGTACCTATTAATCCAACAAACAAGTTGTTGAGCATACATTGTGCACTAATTTGGAGGTTTGGAGGATAAAAAAAAATAATTAAGACTAATTTCCTGTCCTATGTGAGCCTGTTCCAAAATAAATGGTTGGAAGTGATAATGTTACAAGCGCTTTCTAGCTGTTGGAACTGTCCAAAAAGGAAATAGATTATTTAGCATACTGAAACAGAACCTGCCTCGCCATCTGTCAAAGATGCTCTAGAAACAGTTGTCCCATTGGTAAGATGACAAGACTAGACAATCTCTAAGACACCTACTCTGGATCTAATATTCTGTTCAGTTCAGTCAGTTCAGTTCAGTGGCTCAGTCGTGTCCGACTCTTTGCAACCCCATGAACTGCAGCACGCCAGGCCTCCCTGTCCATCACCCACTCCCAGAGTTTACTCAAACTCATGTCTATCAAGTCGGTGATGCCATCCAGCCATCTCATCCTCTGTTGTCCCCTTCTCCTCCTGCCCCCAATCCCTCTCAGCATCAGGGTCTTTTCCAATGAGTCAACTCTTCACATGAGGTGGCCAAAGTATTGGAGTTTCAGCTTCAGCATTAGTCCTACCAGTGAACATCCAGGACTCATCTCCTTTAGGATGGACTGGTTGGATCTCCTTGCAGTCCAAGGGACTCTCAAGAGTCTTCTCCAACACCACACTTCAAAAGCATCAATTTTTCGGCACTCAGCTTTCTTCACAGTCCAACTGTCACACCCATACATGACCACTGGAAAAACCATAGCCTTGACTAGACGGACCTTTGTTGGCAAAGTAATGTCTCTGCTTTTTAATATGCTGTCTAGGTTGGTCATAACTTTCCTTCCAAGGAGTAAGCGTCTTTTAATTTCATGGCTGCAATCATGTTTAAATACGAGTTTGAATAGACAACCTTCCTGAATCACTGCTCATATATTAACCCTGCTTAGTACTAGCCAAAGACACCTCTTCTGTCTATGTTCCTGTACCATGGAGTTTCTTTCTGATCTTCCTTCTCTTTCTCATCACTTACCTGTTTTTCCTTGTTTCCTGTTGTATGCTTTGAGAAGATCCATGATTAAATAGGGAAGAGTAGATGCACTTACCATCTCCTTTCTGCTAGTTGACCCAGCCACTTTGCAAGGCAGAATCTTGAGTTTCTGCCTCATCTCCTCCCTGAAGCACCTTAGTCTTCCTAAAGAGATATGCTGTCAAACTTTGAAGTCTAGTAGATTTTTTTTAATCTAAATCCAGATAGATTCTTTTCTTCCATCTTTTATTTATCCAAAGGCCTTGATCTTTTTTTATACAAGGGTCAAAGTGAAAGGGAACAGTATAAAAAGGGGCTTCCCTGATAGCTCAAGTGGTAAAGAATCTGCCTGCAATACAGGAGACTTGGGTTCGATCCCTGGGTCAGGAATATCTGCGGGAGGAGTAAATGGCAATGCATTCCAGTATTCTTGCCTGGAAAATCTCACGGACAGAGGAACCTGGCAGACCCCAGTCCACAGGGTCACAAAGAGTTGGACATGACTGAGCATGCATGCAGGCCAAAGGAGGCAGCATGGATATATAGCAGGAAGCCCTTATACTTCTTGTTCAATTCTTGGTTGCTGGTGATAAAAACTCAAAACAAAACAAGCAAACAAAAAACCTCAGTAGGACTATATACTTGTTTCAGGGATAGGAGAACAAGGGAGGTACTTTTGACTCTGTATTCTGATGAACAACAGTCCTGGGAGGAGTAAAATCCTGAATATAAAGAGAAATATCCCAGACAGCCCATAGGCATGAAGAAGAACCCAACAGCAGAATTCCAACTAGAAACTCAAGCCCTAATGAGTCCCTCATTCCCAACTGAACAGTTCTTTACACCCCTTTTCCATATGTCTATCAGAATTCCCAAATGCACTAATTCCTTCTTCCTAGAAGCTCTCCCCACCCCCCCCAAACCCCCATTCTCCCTCCGCCAATAAAGGGAAAAGGATGCTGATCTTAGTCCAGTTTGGAACTCTGAATACATTTTTAGTCAAACACAGTTACATCTAGAAGTTAGCAAATGGAATAATAGAATTTTTGGACTAAAGGGGGCTTAAAGATACACACAATACTCAGTGTGTTAGCTATGCTTGTTTCTTCTAGTACATTACCACTTCTGCAGTATTGTAAACACAATACTATATAGGTAAAATGGGGAAATAGATTTGGGCAGGCTTACCTGGGACTAACGACTACTTTGAACATTGTTTTCTTTTTCATTATTTTAAAATGTACTCTGGTACAAAATACTGAATTACAGACAAAACTTGTATACCCAACCAAATTTACAAGCCAGACAGCCTGTACATATTCTTTCACTCTTATTTAATATAATTTAGTAAAATTGGATTTCTATTCCAGAAAATGCCATTTTAGCCCAAGCCCACCAGGGAGCATATTAAATTAATTGTGCAACTATGAGATTATGAGTGAAAATAAATTCTCTGTTCTCATCATTTTCCATGTTACACAAAATTTGGAGGGCATGTGGTTAGTATCCATTCTCTTGGAATCCCCTGGCAAACAGTCTTTTTAAAAATTATGTGACTTCTAACTATCCAAATATGTGGAACATGTAACCACAGCAAAGCAAGTGCCTTTGAGGCTTACTTAAGTAATGGGGACCCAGAATCTTTGTTTTGGAAAAATATGAAATAATATTATTTTTCCAGCCCAAATACATGTCTTGAATGCTAAATAGCAGGAATTCTGCAGGAAGTTTATAAAGTGGTCACGGGTGGCATGCATGGGGCTCTTTCAGTAGGAAATATTCAGAATGTGGAATTGGACTCTTCAAAAGCAGAGAATGAAGAGTGTGTGACATGATGCATCTTTGTGTTTCTCTTTCACAAAAAAAAGCAAAGGTGGTATCATTTCGGTCTCTTCTCCCTTATTTTGAATGATGCACCCACTTGACTTTCCATTAAAAACCTGGCAGGATGAAGGAAGGACAGCACTTCCTGCTTTTGTCTGATTCTGTCTCCTCTGAAGAAAACAAACTGTTTATTGGTTTCCTGTTCTGAGAAACTGTCCTCTCCCTTTTGTTAAGCCGTGCTGTTTCGTGAGCTCTGTACCCTCTTAACAGCACTGCTCTGCCTGTTTTCTGACAGTTAAATCTTCCTTACTTCCCTGTTATCATTAACTTCCTATGAAGTCTTAACACTGACCGCCAAGGGAGCGTGTGGTCAGCAGTTCGACAGGAAGACCCAGTATAGGATGGTCTCTCAGATGTGACCCTCTGTCATTCCAAAGGCCTCAGCATCCATTTCCTGGTCATTTCTCCTGACTTGCCACATAAGAGAACAGTGCTGAATTCCTGTATTTGCTGGTCCAAGCCTTCCTTCCTGAGCGATTTGGTCAGTATCACAAGTATGATGGCACATTTAGCCAACTTTCCAACTGCAGCAGGCTGAGTTGCAAATCTAATGAAGGGAATTTATACAATAGCATCATCACTATTTAGCTCTTTCTAGTATCTTTACCAAAAGAACTGTGCTTCAAAGGTGATCTTTCTAGAATCCTAGTCCAGAAGAACCTTTGATGGTCTCATCCCCTTGCTGGGTGAGAGTTTATTAAAGAAGTGTTTCACACAAGGAACATTTTTGCAAAAGGGACTTTGAGATTAGTGTTGGTAATAGAATCAGAAGGTAAATCTGCTGTGTTTGTGATTGTACTTGAAAACTATGCTACT